AACTTGTTATACCTATTAAAAATTAAACTAAGAAGGAACGTGAGATTTAAGCTTTATATCTATAGTTAATTTAACGAACATTATTTAGTTTGAAAATAAATATAATATTATACACTGTGTATTTTCTGTGTACTCAATTTATAAAGCGTATATTGATTAATGATTATGTATTCATGTAGGTACCTGTTGTCGATAATAAATTAAAAGTATAATACTTAAACATCACTAAAATTATTACATTTTATACTTACGAACATATAATATATTTATATTATGTAATACCCGCTGCTAGAATGTATTATTATTTAATATTCAGGAAATTGTACTTACACATGTTATTATTGATGTTGCATTAACATTTTAACAAATTTTCATTCGTGAAGTGATGTAAAATAAAACACGGGACCAAATATTATATTACCAAAAAGAAATCACTCAAAAAATTATAGTATTAGAATTTAGAGTACAGTAGTTAAGTAAGAAGTAACTATATTAACGTATTTATTGTCTAGAATACTAAGTATGTTATATTTAATAAATTTAATAAACCTATCTGTTAGAATAGTAATATAACCCTCGATATTACAAAATATTATACCTCATACTATGAACACATCGTATGATGTATGATGTACGTAGAATAGAATGATACACTATAGCATGATTAAATTGTATGTTAAAGTGTTGTTATTATTGAAAATGAAAAAAAATAATTTTAAAGCACTGTAAAATGGTTGAAGTAGACTTACAAATTAAAGATAAATAATATAGAAAATATTATATGGTTCAAAGGGGAAATAAATAAGCAAATCACAGAGTACAAATGTTTAAAATAAAAATAAGTAGGTAGTATTACAGACGATGAATGAAATTAACACAGTGTATGCCTGAAAATGATAAAATGTAACATGATAATATTGTTATTTACTATTTGTATGGACGATCAAGAGAAAAATATAATATATGGACATTTTTCGGGTAAATGACTCTACACAATTAAAAGCATAATGTACGAATTACGAATACGAATATATGACATGAATATTTTATAGTAGATTATTAAGTATGAGTATCGATATAATTTATAAACCAGAAATTTGCATGCAATTATATTTAAATTGTAAGTATTTTTAGATTCTGAGTGAACACTGAATTTTTATTATTATTATCTTCAATAAAGATTTCTTTTAGAAAATTGAACATAGTTGGTATTTTTAAGAAGTAAAAATTAAAAACTTTTAAATCCTTTTTATAATAATTTAAAAAATAAATACATTTTCTGTTAAGATTGTAATACTATTATAAATATAATCGTTTGGTAATCTTGATTAAAAAAATTAGACTGTTTTCGCTCAGAATCATTTTTCGTCATTTATAATGATTTATCATTGAATATTTAAATATAACACACATATTACAGTATTTATTTAACGAAGAGAAATATTCAACTTCTGTTCAGAGCGGTCGTATATTTTTTTTAAAAACATTGAATAGCTGATTCTAAAACTGACTCTGCTTATATAGGAAAAAACTAGATATTATGCGCATGTATTGCATTCATGAAAAATATTTGAAACTAATATTGTTTTAAAATAATATTTCGTTATTTTTGATATGAAACCTATTTTTTAAATTTTATATTGAGCTATTCTACATTATTGATGATACATTTTAATGTATATATTTACGTAATACAGTTTCTAAAATTTTAATTTTGATCAAAATTAAATATCAGATATTATATAGGTAGCACATAAAGTCGAGTTAATTTTTGAACTCTATATCTTAAATAAACTGTAAATTTTTTATTGGCATTTAAAAAGCAAAAAATTGTGTTGCTTTTTAATTTTTAATTAATTGAAAACCCAGCATTTTAACTATTTTATAGCTAGCTATAATACGTTTTATAAACAACCCAAAGAAAAATATATTCCAAAGAATGTCCCAGAAATATAGTACCTATTCGATAAATATAAGTTTTTTTTATAAATAAAAGTCATCACCAACGTATTATGTTTCCATGTGCACAATGTACACAGCGGAAAATATTATATTTAATGCTTTTATAATATATATATATATATATATATATATATAATATATGCTTTTATTATGTCATTATATTATTAACATATACAATTTTCACATATTTTTCAATGTCTTAAAGAATAATTAATTCGAAGAGATAACATAAACATTTTTTTTTTTTTTAATTTATTAAAATTACTAATGTTTATAATATATATTATTATTATTAAATGTTAACATGGACTTGAAGATAATGAATCAAAAAATATGATCATAAATGTTAAAGAGTTTTAAAATTTTTTAATAACTTGAAAATAATTTGTTTTAAATAATTATACTCTTTTTCATTGATCTTTTATTATTTTATCATTATTCGCATTTATTACTTTATTTAAAATGATAAAAGTTATTAAAGCCTAAAGGTAAATACCATTTTGTAAAAATTGGTTTTTTTTTGTTATATATATATCAATTTGCCAATGGCGCTAAAATCGTTTTTAAATTATATCGAAGAATAAACGTTTATTCTCCTTAGAAATACTTTCCGTAAAATACATACAAAAATATTCTCAATAAAAATAAATTCTTATTTTTGAACTCAAATAAATAGTTCGGCTTTACTATTATTTACTATGAAAATGTTGAAAGTGTATTTTTTCATACTCTATACTTTGTAGTTTGTCTAAAGGTAAATTCATACAAGTATCAACAATTACAGTCTACAATATAATATAATTAGTTATCATATAAGTATAAGGCACAAAATACTTCCAAAATACATGCAAAATTCTACAGCGTTTATTAGAATTTGTTGAAATTGGCATTTGGTAATGAACAATATTTTATAAAATTAAAATTTCTTTACACTAAAAAATATTTTTGGAATTATAGATATTATATTTAAATTTTATCATCGATCTAGATTTTAGATGATTGTTTATTATTACTTATAAATTTGTAATAATTTATGGCCCAAGTTTTCAAGGTATTAAATTTTAAAATATTTCAAGGATAGTATGCATACAATTAGGATGTCTAGTTGGTTGACAAGTAAACATAATTACTTTAACATTTTAATGGTTTATGATATAAAATAATGTATTAAGATAGATTATGAAATAAAGTATTTAAGTTTATTGATGGAAATACACTTTTCTGGTAGTTTGGTAGGTAGTTTTTTTTTCATACTCTTAGATATGTTTTGTATTTATAAATTATTATTAGTCTAAGTCTACCATTAAATTTTATCGAAAGCTATGGAACATAAGAGAAAAATACTATAACAAAAACATTCAATTAAAGTGAATGCAAGAGGTATTAACATTTATTATAAAATTGTCTTTAAACATTTGTTATTTGAATGTAAAATAATAAAGTAAAATATGTAATCATTTAGATTCATGAAATTCATTTATACGTCATTTCGTAACATACTTAAGTGTGTAGGTATATATCGTTAGTTTATACAATGTAACATTATTTAAATACATTTTAGGATTGTGCAGAATAGTTTTTGTATTGATGTGAAAGGACTAAGAAAAATACCTACAGTGGTATTTTTGTCAAAAAAAATTGTTTTTATTAATATCTTAGATACATCAGCGACTAGGTCATCATAGTATATCATAATTTATAGATATTGCATTAAATTTATATTTGATTATACAGCTCAGATTTAAAAAAAAAATAAAAATAAGTTTATTATATTTTGAGGTTTAATTTTTGATGAACCCTAATGTTTGATTGATTTTTTTCGAAGATGTGGAATGATTACACCAAATTTTGTATTTTTAACATTTTGTAAAAACGTGGTTTATTTGTCAGGGAAACGCCACAAATATTACTTATTTACATGACACAATATCGGTATTTGTTATATAACAAGTATAAATTTATAAAAATAATTATGTATCTTTATATTTTCCTAAAGTTTTGGAAAAAACATATTTCCATAAAGGTATAAAAACATGTTGTACAAAAATATGTTTTTTATATACATTTTTTTTTTTATGGTTAATATTCTGTACATATAAAGCAGATTGTGTATTCTTAAAATTCAACCTATAAGGGACATCAAAAAATAAAAAATCCATATAATATAACTTTAAATAATATACACATAAATCAATCATAATAATTTATACGTTTATAACCTAAATGATAATGAAATGATTAATAATTCATACCGAAAAAACAATGTGAAAATTATAAATATGTGGTTCAGAATAAAATATTAGTGTAATAAATTAAATTTAGGCACCTACCCAGTTTTGACGTACATTTAAAATATATATATTAATTTTAAGCGTATTTTAATTTATTTTATAAAATTACATTTCTAGACGCATTTTTTGTATTTTTTCATGAATTTTCTATTATTTTTCACTAATATTTATTAATTTATTATACCAAAGATATTTACACAAATACATACTATGCTAGACATTCATAATTTTTAGCTATAAGTTTTAGTAAATTGTATTATATAAATATCAAAATAATTGATAGCAATATATTTGTTTTGAATAGAAATTTAGATAATATTATTAGTATCAAAATAAAATATAATTTTCTCAATATATTATGTTTTTAGATTATTATATATTAAATATTGATATCTATTATTAATATTACATAATATTGTTTGTCTGTTAAAAAAAAATAAAAATGATAAAATCTATTAAGTATAATATGTTTACGCATGAAAAATGCACACAACTTTTGTAAACTTGGTATTCACAGCTTGGTTGATACTAGTTTAAAAATGGAAATCAAAACTATGATTTTATTATCTGACGATAGAAGAAATTACAATTTATAAACGATACAAATTATAATACACGTTAATTAATAATAATATTTAATAAATATTGTAGTATATACACAGTCACCTAAAAAAGTAATAGAAATAGGAAAAAATAATTGCACCCGTAAAAATCGTATTACACACGAGTAAATTAAAATGCACTTACCTTTCTTAGAACGATGAACGCTTTGTTGTGATCTTTTTTGGTTTTTCGGAAATGAGCCATTTCTTGCCAGAAATGGTTGAATATTTATTATTCAACGAATGAAAAAAATAAAAAATAATAATAATAAAATCCCGAAAAACGAGATTCTCGTCAATGCGTTAATAAAAATATAATATTATTGAAAATTTCGGTGGAAAAAAAAATAATAACAATAATAACCAACTATGACCGCCGTACCTACTCTTCTGTGCGGTCGGTACGGTACAGCTGTAACAGTCGAAGAAAAGCGAATGCGCGAGACTGAGCGGACACGGACGACTCGTCGTCAGCGGGGACGGACGGAGTTTAGGCGAGTGTAAAAATAGATCATCGCATCTGCGATAGCGTCGTGCTTATTATTTAGTGGGGTGGTAGGGGCGGGTGGGGGCTGCTAACACTGTGTACACTGTACATACAGACAGACGTTGTAGTGTTGTGATATTTTTTTTCTCCTCTTTCAAGCTAACCTGTCGTCCGCGCGGTTCATACGAAATTATTTGAAAATAATGTGATATACGCGCGCCCATAATCATACATAACAATAATAATATACGTAGAATATAGATCGGTGACGGTCAAATGAATTTGTCATCAGGAGGAACGACGTTGATTTATAAACACGCACTGTGATTATTAAAAACATGGTTGTTCGAGGATTATAGATCAGTATATCAATTATTAAGAACATAAAATTAAAATTAATTAATACGTAACAATTCTACCTAAAATAGTAAATCGTCTAAGCCTCGCGATAAACAGCTGTTGTAGTCAAGTCATTCAGACGACTCTAAAATACCTATTAATAAAGAGATAAATTAACATTCTAAGTATATTTTTAACTTAGCTATAAAATAAATGAAAAAAAACGTAACGTAAAAGTTATATTGTATATTTTATTATATAAATATTTTGTGTTTGAAACACTTAGTTGATACTTATTTTATTTAAGTAAATATTTTTCTTAGCTCAAAGTACGTTTAGTAAATTCAGTATTTATTTACATGACTCTGCCATAGTTAGAAATATTAATATGTCATCAGATTATAGAAAAAATATATTATTATTCACATTACTTTCTTTATAAAAATATCAATAACGTAAAATAATTTAAAAAATGATAAAATAATGTTTATTGAAAAACAATTTTCAGGAGAAATCCCGGCATCTTACTACCATTTGATCACTCTCGATATACTTTACATTAAACGATTAAACTTATACAATATATGCTTACACATGATATTATTATGTAGTATGTACCAAATGTATTGTATCTATTTATTTTCACTACATACTATAGTATAGATATCATTGTAATAGTAATAGTATGTGCGTGTTCTATTGATATCTAAAACAACATTTAAGTATATCATTATTATTATTATTTACTGAATAGCCTATAAATTATAGGATTTTTTAAATTTTATTCGTAAAACACAATATTTTATAATAAGATATAATACTTCCTTTTGTTCTCAAAAACATTATCAAATATTTGTGATTTTCATTAATTATTTGATGAAAAATAATGATAGTAAAATAGTTTGATTGTTATCATCAAATATCAGTACTCGAGGGTTGACGACTTTTTCATTAATTTTTTTAGAATGTCTTAAAAAAAATATTCCTGTTAGAAATAACATGTGTTTCGATAACATATAACTAATTTTTATTTTATATTTTTTGACATTGAATTTTTGTTTAATCTAAGGTAAATTTTAACCAATTTTTACCGAATAAAATAAAAATTCCTACTTTTTCTTGTATATTTTATTTTAAATCTCAAAATTACAATTAATTGTAATAATTTCAAATTAAATGATTATAAATAAAATTTAATATTATTAATTTAAAACAGCTTATAAGTAGATAATCTTTTCATATAAATAGAATTGTACTATTAATTTTATTATTTTATTTAAGCACTTAATTTTTACGATTAAATGCGTGCGATATTATTAATTATAATTAACATTTTTTTCATCACTTTTATACTTTTATACGGGTATTTTTAAAAATTTTTTGATCACATTAACATTTGTTTAGGTCATTGTTTAATGTTTTATAATTAAAACCCCTGATTATTACAGATGTTAAGTGACTGAATATTCCAAACGATCGACAAAATAGTAGACATTTTTTTATTTGTTTGGTTTAAAATAGACACAATTATTTTTTATAATATTGTACTGATGGAGTTTAGTTAAATTAAATTGAAAAATTACTTATACGTAAAATTGTCTGCATTTAGAACAATAAATAGCTATTTTTACTTTAATTAACGTTTCAGGTTGGCGTGTTATTATAATCTATAGTATTAAATTGCTTAATGTGAATATGGAGCTGAAAGTAAATTCATATTAAATCTTTTGTTGAGAAAAAAGTTACTCATTTTTTTTTAAATGCAGTAGAAAAGAAATTCAAATACAATTAATTTCTATAATTTCAACTTTTACCTTTTTAAATTAATATAATAATATAATTAATAATATTATTTTTAACATGAATATTTATTTAAATTGTGTCTGTATTTTTAATTATCAATAATACATATATTGAAGAATTCATATCTCGTATATATATATATACATAGATTATAGATGTATAAGAAAATGTAAGGGTATAAAACTTTATTATTTATTTTTGAGACGTATAATTTTTATCAATATCTATTTAACATAATTTCATAATTATATTTTGTTTTTCTTAATATAAAATTGTATTTGAATTAGCATATGGTACTGGTTTAAATGTTGTTGTTTAAATCAATAGATTTAAGATATAAATGTATGAAATTTGAATTTATTTGTTGAAGTTTAAATCTAAACTTAATTATTAAAATTTAGATGTTAGTTCGATTAACATTTAAAAACATGACAGACAAAAATTGTTTTTAAAACAGGCATTATTGACAAATACCTAAGTATTGTAACGAAACTACAAAAATATTCTTCGAGCCTAATTGGATAGTTACACATTTTATTTATACGTGTTCTCATTTTAAATATTTTTCACAGTATATATTTTTAATGTTGGTACTTAATCATTATTATTTTTAAATAGTTATACTTAATTTAACTTAATTTAAAAATAATACTATCAAATGTATGCTATAATATTAATATTACAATACTAGGTATTATTAATCCGATCTGCAGCAATTGCTACAAAGTATAGCAAAACTTTCCAGACATAAAAATAGTTGTTACTTAAAAAATAATAATAATTATTTGATATGATTAGTAAAAGAAAAAAATATTATTATTGGCGTGTTCACCTATTTTTTTTTTATTTTTTTTTTTTGTAGATCTCTATGTATAATAGTATATAATCTAGATAGTGGATGAAATCGTCAACCTGTTTATATCTGAACGCTATATTAAATGAATCGTTTAAAATCAATTGTGTGTATATTTGAGTTAAAAAGCCATTTAAACTGTGTTATTTAATTAAAACTCTCATCTAAGTAAAAATACATAAATATTTCCTCTTTAAAATTAAATCTCCATAATATTGTTTGTTTAAAAGAAGAACTTATTTAATTGAAAATAAAATTGCAGATTCGTACATATTTGCAATGTCCAACGTTAACCTTAAGATAAAATTATGTTTATTTTGAGAATATTATGTAACAATTATTTTCAGACATTAAATCAAATAACGACAACTTACTGTCTCGACTGTCAATGAGGTGAATTTAACTCTCTACGAAGATTCTAAGAATTTTGTTTGCTGTCAAAATGAAAACGTGAACAAAGGTTGCAGAACTATAAAGAGAAACGAACTATGTTTTACAATCTGCTTAAAAACTTGTAAATAATTGTTACGAAACATTTTCTTGGGAATTTTTACGTTTATTTTTAATTTCTATAAGATCTTACATGCTTTTGTCATTGCATCAGTCGAACGTATAATAATAATATATATAGCACCCCCTGAAAAAGTGTATTTTTGATTGTGCAAATATAAAGTATTATTTATGTGTATATAGTATAAACCGCCGATACATACAACCAATCGATCAACATGTATTATAATTTAAAGGTATCGATATTTTCGGTCTAAGGACTCGAACACGATTGAATGCGCTACTGCAGGGTATAGAATATATTCTCATTCAGACAGTTAAAAATCACCGGCGGCGGTAAAACTTTATCCCATTGTTTCTATAGTGACTTTACAAGTCAAATTAACTCTCCCTCTTTCTACTGTCACAAACCGTTGACAATAAGACACTGAACACAAATAAACGAGAATTTCGAGTCTTCTACACTCAATATATAATATAGAAGATAATTCACTAAAAAACATGCATATTACCCATTTTATTATTTAATAATAAATGTATTAAAATATTATGATTTTTGAATTTTTAAGTTTACACATTGACTATATTTTAATATATTTAGATTTTTTTTATGCACTTTAAGGAGCATTCTGATACAATTTATTTATTTTTTTTTTTAAATGAGAACCACCCTTATTTATCATTGAAAATTATTAAAAATATAATTATGACTTTTAAAATATTTATGTATTTTTAATCGAAGTTTTAACGAGTATTTTCTAAATAATTTAACTTTATAATATCTACTTAGAATACTAGTGTCTAGTCCATAATAATTAATAGGCTTAAAAATAGTAGTAATTATCCTTCTATAATAATGGTTATGATGATAATTTGAAAATTAGTATTAATTATATTATTATACCTATTCTCATTTAATAAATTGAAAATATTATTTAAATAAAATAAACAGTAGTCCAAAGTCTAAAAATTATATAAATTTTAAATTTTGTATAAAACTCATTATTTCTAGTACATAATGTATACATTTAATTGTTAAATAATTTGGAAACTTTAGAAAATAATCGTTGTATTTTTAGATTCAGATGCCATTTGTCTGTTTTCAAAAGAATAATATTATCTGACCATTAATTTATAGATAAATAAGCGTATACGATAATTAACGATTCTAAGTGGAGAGGATCTGTGATCTGTCTACATATTACATAAACAT